GCCAGAAGGCTGGCGGTTCAAACCCACCAGCCACTCCTCAGAAGGAAGATGGGGCAATCTACTTCCGTAGTGATACTGCCTCGGAAACCCAAGGAGGGGTCACTATGAGTCGGGTCCGACTCGACGGCACATAACAACAACAAGGAGGGTTGGAGAGGATGACAGGACAGAAAATTGGGCATGGAGCTGTGAGACTGAGAATTCATTCCTTCCTCCTTGGGGGCCTCAGTTCATTCCTTCCTCCTTGGGGGTCTGAGAGGGTTGGATCACAAAATCCTTTTGGGTCTTTTCAGAAGCCTACCTTTGCCTGAGCTTGCTCCTATCTGGAATGCCCTCCCTCCACAGATCTAAATGCTCCCTATCTGCAGCTTCTAGGGCAGAAGGTCTAGACTGTGGGCCCCTGGACAGTAGCAGGGTAGAGATGTACCTCTCAGGAGACAGAGTTTGCTTTTTGCTCCATTATCAAGTGGATGGCTGAGGGACACTTTAAAGTTCCTTCTGATCCTAGATTTTCAGAGAGCCTTTCCAGAGCATAGGGAGGGGAAGGCAGGTAGACTGGAAGGGCGTAATGCTGGGAACTCGATAGAGCTGCCTCCTGAGGATGCAATGGAGCTGAAAATAAGTCTGTGCTGGAGAAGCAGGCCTGAGGGACTTGGCTCCTACCAAGTTCCTAGTAGAGCGAAGACTTCTGTACTCTCCCCTTCATGTCCTTCCTGCCACTCTCCATCATCCTCAAGGCTTCCTGGGTGGGAGGATTCCAACCTGATCCACAGGATAGAAGGGTTTCTCAAGACCCTTTCTTTCTATCTCCTAAAGTCCTAATCCATTCCACAGGGGTTGTCCTGGACTTCTCCCCAAGCCTATGTAGAGGGGAAAAAGGGAAGGCAATGCCAGGACCTGTCTTCATGGAGAAATTTGGCCTCCTCCTCAGACTAAGTTCCTCCTAGTTTCTCATTCCCTAAACTGACAGCCCTCAGACTGGGGAATGGGCTCAGCCTGGGGGAGGGGTTCTTCAGGTTGCCATGGGAACATATTGGCCCTCCTCATTTCCCAGAATCGGAAATAGAATTGGATGCCCTTCTTCCTGGTAAAAGACTATTTAAAAACATGGGGGAAGGGAGTCACAGGGACACTGTCCCTGCCCAATCTCTAGGGGCTGGAAGAAGGACCCTGGGAGTCCCTCTACCTGCTCTCCTGCCCCTCTCCCCAGCTGGATGGAGTAGGAATGGGCTCTTGGCCAGCTGAAGATTTTGAGTAGAAGAAACTCAGCCTAGGCCCATAGAGTATATAGCTGGCCTATACTCAACACCACCAGGTTCCTAGGAGGACACTGGCTTAGTGATGCCCAAAGGGAAAATTCCCCCTCCTGGACCTGAGCCACCTGCTAAGCTGTTGGAAAGAGAAGCAGGTTTTTGCAGGACACAGCTTAGGTGTGGGACTTGAGGCTACAGTAGCAGGAGACATGCATGCTTGGCTCCCCTCTGGCAGGGCCAAAGCTCACACATGGCATCCAGTAGTGGCACTATAAGTTCTTAAAGTGTAGGTCCAGAGCCTGGTGGCCTGGATTCAGATTCTGGCTCTACTACTTGCTAGCTTTAATTTCTGCCCGTTCTCTCCCCTCCAATCTTGGTTATCTAGTGCAGCTATAACAGAAATACCACAAGTAGATGGCTTTAACAAACAGAAATTTATTCTGTCACAGTTTAGGAGGCTGTTGTTGTTGTTGTTGTTGTCATGTTCTGTCAAGTTGGCCCCGACTCACAGTGACCCCTCCTTGGGTTTCCAAGGCGGTATCACTACGGAAATAGATTGCCCAACCTTCCTTCCGGGCAGTGGCTGGTGAGTTTGAACCACAAGCCTTCTAGTTAGCAGTCAAGTGCCTTAGACACTATGCTACCAGAGCTCCCAGCTTAGGAGGCTAGAAGTCCTAATGCAGGGTGCCAGCTCTAGGGGAAGTCTTTCTCTCTCTGTCAGCTCACAGTTTAGGAGAAAGGCCCTTGTCTCTCCTTTCAGCATCTGTGGGCCTGGCATTCCTTGGAGATCTCCTTGTGTCTTGGCATCAGTCTTCCCCTGAGTCTAGGAAGTTCTCAGTGCAGGGACCCTGGGCCCAAAGAATGCACTCCACTCCTGTCTGTATTTGCTTGATGGTAGTAGGTCCCTCCTTATTCTCTGTTCACTTCTCTGTGCTTTTATCTCTTGTAAGATAAAAGGTGGTGCAGGCTATACCCCAGGAAAACTCTCCTTACGTCAGATCAGATCAGAATTGTAACCTGGAAAAATGTGTTGCATCTCAATCTAATCCCCCTTACAACTGATTGTCTGGTCACATTAGATCACATCATGGGAAATGATTACATCATTACTTAACCGCAAAATGATATCATTATGTAATTGTCAAATCGTAAGAATCATGGCCTAGGCAAGGTGACACATATTTTGGGGGGAAATAATTCAATCCAAACACAATTCAATCCATGACATAAAGAAAGTGCCCGATGTATTGAATTGCTGTGAGCTTGGGTTACATTTGCTCATCACTGCCCTGGCCCAGAAGAATGGTCCATTGAATATTAGTCACTGTTACTATTGCTGTAAGGGGCATTTGCTTCCTTAATGGGAAGGGCTGTCTCCTGGCTGCCTTTCTGGGCCTTTCTTCTTGGGCCAGACCCTTCAGCCCCTCCACTCCCTTTACTTCAGAGCCTTTAGGCCAGTTGTGCACAAAGGCTCTCCAGCCCTTGAAAGGAGGGTTATATCTCATTTCTGTACTCAGTGGGGGATGGCTCAGTGACTAGACAGGCTGGGGGCTCTCAAGACCTTCTTTCATGCCTCTTCAGCCCTCCCAGATGCAGCCTAGTTCAAGTGTTACACAGGTACCAGTGTTACACAGGCTGCTACTGACCTGTCTGTCATGGACAAAACAGTTTGCCTAGGGCCAGAGAGTGATGAAATTAATAGTGTTCACTACAGCAGTGGATCAGAGAGAGTGAGTGTGTGTGCACAGATGCATGCATACTTTTGGCTACAAACTCTTGGGCTCTGTCATTTTCCTGGGCCACATCATGAGAGTTAGCATCTCCTCTGTGTCCATAGCCATCTCTCCCCATTCTGAACTAAAAGCAGCACCCAGGGAAAGGGGAGGGGCCTCAAGGAGCCTGAGATGTGGCTGAGTCAGGCTTTGCCCAGTGTTGAGTCAGGAAGGTGAAGATGCAGCACAGTGCAAGCTTTGGTCCCTGGTCACATCGACTTGCACCCCATGGCAAACTGGAAGCACTATATTTAGACTCTGAAAACCCTGCTTTGGAGAACAAGACTATAGCTGTACTCTTCACATACCTATTTTCTGGGTGGAAAGACTGAGGCCTGAAAGGATGCAGCCCTGAAAGAGAGGGAGGAGGCTCAGAGATTAGAGCTGGGGGAAGGGAGGAGAGCTTGACTGGACCTCAGGTCAGAACCTGTAGACTCAGGTCTGTGGCAATGTGAAGTTCCCCAAGCTGCCTCCTAAGCCTATTCTCTGAGACTACAGGGCACTTCTGGTTGGTGGCTTAGGCAGGTGTCACCCCTCCCTGTGCCTCCATTTCCATATCTAAGAAATGGAGAATGGAATTGGCCACCTAGTCTGATAGCCTACATTTTTATGTGTGTGCTGTGTGTCCAGACCTGTGTTGAACTTGTTCTCATAGTATACACAGCTCTGTGTTCCTACTCCGGTGCCCTGCCATGTTGCCACTGTGTGAGCAGCCATTTATCCACTGTATGACCAGTCCTGTGCCTGCCATATCCCCACTGTATGCCAGCCCTATGCCCTCTGTATCCACACATCTTGACCTATCCTGTGCCCAACATGTCCCCATTATGTGGCCAGACTTGTGTCCACTGTGTGGCCAACCTTGTACCTTCCACATGTTCACTGTGTCCCCACCATGTCCCCTGTGCTCAGCCAGGTGCCTGCCACATTCTCACTAAATACCCAGACCTGTGCCCACAATGTCTCACCTGTATGGACAGCCCTATACTCACTATATCCCTACTATTTGCCTAGTTCTGTGCCAGCCACATCCCCAGGTCTGTGCTCATTCTGTCCCTATTATGTGCCCTGTCCTATAATGGCTAGTTATCTAACTCTGTGGCCATTGTAGCCTAGCCCTACGCCCAGTGCCCTTGCCCTGCCCCCCATCTGACTGAGGTGAAGTTGACATAATGTGATAAGAGCTAGAATATTCTGACTTGAGTATTCTGAACAGAGGCCCCACCCCTGCCCTTGCCATCCCCATCTCCCCTCTTTGGGATACTGGTCCTGGGCTTCAGGGACTTGTGGCTCTGGGGAGGGGGCTCGATGAAGCACAAGCAGAACAGAACCATCTGGAGCAGCAGAGACTGCCAAGAATCTGCTGTCCCTGGAGCGGAAGCTGGGGAATGCGGGGGAGGGTATCTTGGGTCTGAGCCTGGGCCCCTCACTGCCTTCTGTCTCCTAGGAATAAGTGGTGAAGGGGCTTTGGCCTCTTAAAAGGCCTCTTGTCCACATACATTCTTGGGTCAAAGCTTAGGTCTCAGATTGCTACATAGGAAATGAGAAGAAAGAGCATCTTGGGTGGGCTGGGAGCCCAGGAGCTTCCTCAGAGTCTCCCCTGCACCTTTATCCCTTGGCCTTACACTGGACTACCCATTCCCTCTAGGTACACTGTCTGCACTCTGAGGCTGCCTGGGCAGAGCAATTGCCTGGCTGGTAAGGGCAGAAGAGCCCACCTGGAGCTGGCAGACCTCGCTAGGGTCCCTGGGTCTTTCTGCCTCCTAAGGCCTACTGGGTAGGCCCCCATTCCTTAAGGGGTGGGGGCCCTTGGTTTCCCACACTCTGTTATCCCCAGGTCACTGGGGGCTGTGATGTGTGGGATTGCCATGGCAACAAAGTGGGGGCAGGGCACCTAGAGCATGGAGCAGGACTATGGAAGGCACCAGGAAGGTGGGGGGCCCTGATCCATCGGGCCCCCAAATCCTCCCCTCAGCTGGAAGCCAGCAGCTGGAGGGTGGCCTCAGAGAGTCTCAGAGGCCATGGATGAGCTCAGGATCCCTATACTTCAGGCAGGGGTTGTCACTGTCCACTGAGGCCATTATTGAAGGGGCCTATGGCCCAGCCTCTCAGGCTCAGACCCCTGAGCCCATTCACCAGTTACGCCAGGAGCCTCCCCAGGTTAGCTCCCAATGGGGTTGTAAGTGGGCTTCCCAGGATGCCCCAAGTCTCTCCCCCAATGGCCCAATTCAGAGCCTCATCGTGGAAGCCCAGCCACATCTCATCATGGAGGACGGGACCCTGGCCCTACCTGTGTGTGTGCACAGTGACAGCAGCAGCATCATTGACACGACCCAGCATGGACCCTGCCACCCCCGGATTCAGGTGCAGGTTCGGGGGGAGGGCAAGCCCCCATCCAAAGTCCTGGTGGGCTGGGGCAAAGGTCCTGGCATCGCTGAACAGATGGCCCCCTCTGGCACTAGGAAGAGCCGGTGGTTACCCTACTTCCCCTCAGAGGAGGAAGGGGCAGCTATAGTCCAGGGCCCTCTTCCAGCTCCAGCTGAGGCTCCTGCCAAAGGTCATGGCCAAAGCAAGTGCCCATGTCCAGCTCAAGCTACAGCTTCTTCTATGTCGCTGCCTCCTTCAGTTCCAGTTCAAGCTACTACTCCAGCTTTGGATGTGGCCCCAAAGCCCATTGTGATTGAACCTTGTACCTGCACCCTTGACCACCTGACTGACACCATAGCCATCACTAAAAATCTGTCCCAAGATCTCCTGCTCAGGAAGTGTGGCAACCAACAGTCAGTCCCATTGGAGTCTTCCAAAGTGCAAAAAGCCTACCAGGACACAGTGAGTTTCCAGAAGGAGCCTCTCACCCCACCATCCACTCCAATAGGCACCCCAGACCAGGCCCAGGAGCACAAGGTTACTAGAAGACAAGATCTACCCGAGCAACCTGAGAACATGGTAGAGAAGCCCCTGGTTGGATCATGCAAGCCAACACTAGGCCCAGAACCCCCAGGCACCCCCAAACCCCAGAGGATTAGCCAGGAGGGCTGCAGCTCTCAGTCAGACCAGCAGCTTCTAAACATCTGCAACAACAACTGCACCAATATACCACTGTCTGCTTACCAAGCAACCTGCCATGGGCAGCATCCAGTCCAGTCTCTCAGGGAAGCTGTGCAGATCCCCCTGTCTTGTACTCCCACCTGCCAGCTCCGGGAAGCCATGGAAGACCATGTGCTTGTGTTTGATATGGCCACAGGCAACACCAGGATGGGTCTGCTGTGCCATGACCCCATGGGCTCACGGGCAAGACTGGTAGGCCTCATGCCCAACCACCCACCCATCTACGTCCCTGAGAATATGCGATCACTGGCCATGCCCATCCACTCCCCTGACAGCAATCGCTCCAGCTTCTGGTCCACCACACCCATGCTGTCCAGCCCTGTGCCTTCTAGCCTCTCATCTGGCAGTTATCGAGAGGTAGCCCTACTTCCCAAGGAGGCCAGGCTCAACTTGGAGTCACAGAACTCCCCTGGTACAGAGACTCCCATCAGGATTGGAATGCTCACTAGGCCTGTCCCATTGGGGATGCCACTCCAATTTGGTGACAGGATACTGAGCCACATCCCCAGTCCTGGCTGGTCCAAATCTGATGCAGAGAAAAATGAACCTAATCATACCATCTGGATGCTGGACACCTCCTGGATGCCAGATACCTCCATTGTGCAGACCAATAAATTGCAGTGGATGAACTCAGAGCAGACCCCAGAGCCTGCTCCACTAGCCAATCCACAGGAGGTGCCCAGAACCCTGCTCCAGGAGGATATGAGCAGTCATAAGCGGGAAGACGTCATTACTGTGTACCCTGACAATCCTCTAGCTGAAGGTGCTGGGAAGGCCCCCCTCACTGGTCAGCCCCCACAAGCTGAGCAGTCCCCACTTGCCAGGAAGATCCCTTCTGTGGGCCAGCCCCCTCTAGTTGACCAGCCCCCCTCCACTGAACAGCCCCCTATCACAGGTCACGTCCTCTACACCAGCCAGACACAGGCCCCCTCCACCCTGAAGCCTTCTCTTCCTGGCCAGAGCCCCCCCACTAAGCAGGTAACTCTCACTGGGCAGCTCCCCTCTTCCAGAGAACCCCTCTCCACCAGTGAGCTCACTCCCTCAAGAGGGGACCCTATCACCAAGGAGCCTGGACAGGCTTCCACTTTGTCTCAGGAAGGTGAGTCCTTGGGCCTGCCTACTCATGCAGGGGTACTTCGGGTGCCCCTGGCCCCTCAGGAGACCTGTGTCTATATGAGCAGAGAGAAGGTCAGCATTGGGGCCACTCAAGGCTCCAGCAAGCATCGGCTCACATGGCCATCTGGTAGCTCCCCCAGGACCCAGGAGGAACAGCTTTCCCTGATCACATTCACCACATCTGGCACTGGCTACAAGATCTTGCCTATGGCCATGGTGAGCACTGAGCCCCAGGGTACCCGGCTGAAGATGACACCTGAAGGCATCACACACTCGTCAGTGGTTGCACACCTCGGCCTACTCCGAGGGACCTGCAATGAGCTGGTATCCACCATGGATGCTCTGCCAGTTCAACTCCCAGTGATCTGCCACCCCTCCCTGGGCCCCTACCAGGATATGGCAGCCATAGTGATAGACACAGGTACAGGCTTCACCAAATGTGGGCTGGCTGGAGAGGACCATGCCCTCAGCGTGGTGCCCTCACGTGTCCAGCTACTGCAGCAATCAGCCCAGGGCCAGCCCAGGTATATGGTACCTGACAATCAAGAGGGTTCCTACCCAGTGCTGAACCGAGGTGTGGTCTCTGACTGGGATGCACTGGAAGTGTTGTGGCAGCACCTGTTCTACTGTAGGCTGGGTGTGCAGCCTGAGGAGCTGGCTGTGCTCGTGGCAGATTCACCCATTTCACCACGCACCAACCGAGAAAAGGTAGCTGAGATACTCTTTGAGCGTTTCCACGTGCCTGCCATGCAGACAGTGCATCAGGCCCTGTTGGCACTCTACGCTTATGGACGCACCACTGGACTGGTGCTGGGCAGTGGCTATGGCACCTCCTATGTGGCACCCATTCTCACTGGAGACCTGGCCCCACTTGACACCTATCGGCTGGATGTTGCTGGTTGTGACCTCACTGAATACTTGAGTCAGCTGCTCCTGGCAGGGGGCCACTCACCGCCCAAGGCAGCACTGGTCAACCAGATTAAAGAGGCCAGCTGCTATGTGACCATGGACATGGCAGCTGAGATGGCCTGTGCCCAGGCCCAGGCTAGGGTGGACTTTGTTCTCCCCGACAAGCAGGTCATCACACTGGGCTCTGAGCGCTTTCGCTGCCCTGAGGCCCTTTTCCAGCCCAACCTGCTAGGCCTCAACCAGCCAGGCCTCCCACAGTTGGCCCTCCTAAGCATCAGCCGGCTGGAGGCCAAGCAACAAGAGCAGCTTCTGGCCAACGTGGTATTGGATGGTGGCAGCACCCTGTTGAATGGTTTTCCCGAGCGCCTGAGACAGGAGCTAGGCCCTGGTGCAACTGTGTTAGGCTCTCCTCACCGTGCTGCTGCTGCCTGGCTTGGGGGCTCCATCATGGCATCTCGGGACTCCTTTCAGAGCCTGTGGCTCAGCCGTCGTGAGTACGAGGAGGAGGGCCCATGGGCCATCTATAAGTACCATCTGTGAGCACATAAAACTTCTGGTTCTGCTTCCGTGGGCAATGCAGTGTGTTTTGGGCAAAGGGTGGTGTAGGAAGAGTTGGGGTCTGGGTAGGGGGTTTGAGGTGGGGGCCCTGGCACTACTAAAGCATATTCTGCCTCTGCACATGAATTCTATGGGCCATGGCAATTTTGCCCTTTCTGGAGAGGCTCCAAGTGCCTTGGCTGACACTGGCTCTGGTCTGGCCTGACCTTTACTGCACCCCAAGGGCAACCACAGAGAGTGGCTGGTGCGGGTTTTGCCCTGTTGCCCTGGTGACAAGTGCAATTACCCTTGATTGCCAGCTGGTTGCCATGGCAATTTCAAACATAATGTAATAAACCACACAGCCTAGAGTGAGTCATGATGGGGCTAGGTTGGGGGAGGGGTGGAGGTGGAGGAGCCCACTCCCCAAGCTCTAGATGAAAAGATGCTTGCCCTCCTTCATCTTGGGTCCTCTTCTAAAAGCTGAAGCCAGCCACAGGAACAACCAAGCAATTACTAAAATGGTTGCGGGCCTCGAGTGCTGCCCCCAGGACGAGTCTCTGCCAGAGTCTAGGGTTCTTAGGGAGCTGGCCTGATGGTACAGGGCCTCCTGATGACTGAATCTTGCCTAGAGTTTCATGATGGGTTGGCAGGAGCTCTTGTTGGCCAGCCAAAGTGTAAGGGTGTGGGAGTGCTGGTGTTTGGTGTCCCGGGGTGGGAGGGGGGCAGCTAAGTCCTGGATTGTGGCTTGAAGGTACAACCTGAGTTGAGGGATTAGGTTGTCCTCTGCCCAGAGTGTATACAGAGGTTCACATCCTGTTCTGGACCCAACTGTATTGCTCTGTTTAAATCCAGACTTGTGAACATTGGGCTCCCTTTTTCTCCTCAGTCCCCCAACCAGGGCAGCCTCTTGTCTGCAGGGTGACCAGGCACAGGCCTCACAGAGGCTACTGGAAAATGCCAATGCCGATTGCCCCTGCTCTTGTCCTTAATTCTGCCAGGGCTGAGGGGCCTCCCACTACCCCTCTGACCAATACGGTGGCTAGAAGCCATGGCCCCTGCCTCCATCTGGCTCAGAATAGTGGAGATAGGAATGAAGCTCTGCGTTGACCCAATCCAGGCCTAGAAGAGCTGAGAGGACAGCATTTAGCTGGTGCTGCTACCCTCTGCCCCCTGCCTTCTGCCAGAAGGGCAGTTAGAGGTTGAAGCCAAAACACTGGAGTCACCCCTGCCCTTCATGTGCCTCTTTGCCAGGGGGCTGACAGGACAAGCCATGCCCCAGCCACAACCCTGGGTTCTCATCTTCAGGTTACCCTCTCAGAGGGCAAAGATCTGGTTATCCCTACCCGCATTTGTGAAGGGATACCCTGAGATGGGGTACTGGGTGCAACCAACTATGTAGGGTTATCACAGCACCTGCCTGCCCCTGGGCATGGTCTAGTCCCTTCCATGTCCTTCTCTCACACCTTAATGGTGTTTCCCCAGATTCAGCCTCCACAGTCCTGTCAGGCAGGAAGGGAGGTGGGGAGAACCAGCAGCTCTGGGGACTAGCTACAGCATCCACACACACGTGCGAGCAAGCATGCCTGGGTGCACACAGAATGCAGACACACGTGCCCCTGAGCACCACTGCACACACTGTGCTATTGCCATCTCTCTCAGCACAAGAGCATACACACACACACACGTGTGCTCACACACCCTGCCACGTGCTCTCACCCACACACACATGGAGTGTGCACAGGACCAAAAAGAGGTGGAGTACCGCCAGCAGCAGCGGAGATCCAGGGAGTCACCCTTTTCCCTGCCTCTAAGTTCCCCATTCCAGCTTCTCCTTGGCCCCCAGGCTTCCCACTGTTGACTGCCTGGATAGCCATGACTTCAGCAAAGACACAAAATGTGTGATATGCTTCAGCTGCATCATACAACTCAGAGACCTATTGTTTCAAGGACACTGGGCAGACAACATAAAGAACTGAGTGCCAGGCCATTCATTCATTCTGCAGATATTAACTGAATAACTGAGATGAGAAGCCAGCTTTGCCCTGCAGATGCCCAGCATCCAGGAGATTCTTACCAGTGGTGGAGTTGGTGCTATGACTGAGAACCAAAGGCCTAAAGGAGGTGACCCAAAGCCAGGGAAAGATGTGAAGAGCCCTTTGACACCCCTTTTGGAAGAGAAGATATTGAGGGGGCTGTTTGAGGTAGTCATTCCTCAGGCTAGCCTTTCAGCCCCAACCTTAGCCCCAGTCTCAGCTTCCTAAGCTGAGCAGTCCCTTCTGCCATCAGCCATGGGAACTACGCAGGGTAACCAAGTCTCATTTGGGAATCCATTCAACATGGCTGAGGGTTTAGGGATGACTCCATCTTTTCAGAGGCCAGGTCAGAAGACCCACTGGAAAGAGTAAGATGGGATGGGGTTGAGTCCAGCTCCAGGTCCTGAGAGGCCTAAATCTGGCCTTCAGGGTGGTCCTCAGGACTTGTGAAAGAGGTGGTTCAGGCATTGGGTCTATCTGCCTTCCCAACAAGGGACAGAGAAATGGCCAAGGACTTCCTTCAACGCTTCTTGCTGGCAATTCTGCGCTTCCTCCAGCCAGGGGCCAGGCCTGGCAGGGCACTTCAGTGCCACTAGTCTCCCATATCTGTGTGTTCTAGTCCAGGCCACTTAGGATGATGGTGCTCATGATATGTTTGAGATTGATTAGACTCAGAAGAAACCAGAATCCACTCCATGTTGTAGGTAACTTTTATAGCTTCGGAAATTCTGTACCACATGTTGTTGCTGTTGTGAGCTGTGGAGTAGGACCTGACTCATAACGACCCCTTCTTGGGTTTCCAAGGCAGTATCACTACGGAAGTAAATTGCCCAACCTTCCTTCAAGGAGTGACTAGTGGGTTTGAACCTCCAGCCTCTGGTGGGCACTACACTACCAGAGCTCCTGCCACATAGGAGAGGGTAAACTGGCTCAGCCATCTAGGCTGGGACTTGGGATTGGAAAAGACTTTGGCCTTGCAGGATTGGGACGTGGGATGGGATAGGACGCTCTGCCTACACTGCACACTGACAATCTACTCAACCGCCCCCCCAACACACACACTCCATGTGTTCCTAGCCAGGCAATGTCAATCTGTGGAGCAGTCTGCCCTAGTGACTGCCCACGTGGTTCTGCCCATTCAGTCAAATTTGGGGAGCTGGGCAGTGCCCCATACCCTGGGGACTACTGCCTGCCAAGGGATTTTGTGCAGTTCCAGGTCTCAGGCTCCCCCTCCTCCCCAAATTCAACTCCTGCCCCTACAATGTGCATAGGAAGGTCTCTCCAGCCCTCGTTGCCGGATCGGGAGTCCAAGGGCCTAAGGGAGTTTTTGAGAGCCCAGCCAGGGCCAGGAAGGCTAACGCTCACCGGCTCAACAGCTTCGCTGCCATCAGAGTTTGCCGGCCAACGCGTGGGATCCCGGCCTCAGGCTCCTCCTGAGCCAGGGGCGGGGCCAACTGAGGGAGGCCCCGCCCCCAGCCCGCCCCCGGCCCGGGGTGCGAATCTGGTGCCGGCGAGCGGCGGGCGATGCTAGAGGTTCGCGAGCCCGAGCGGCTGCAGCTGGCGCCGCGTCTGCCCCGCGTGCCCCGAGTGGATTCTGCCCGCCGCCCCCGGAGCGCCTGGCGCCCCGCTGAGCCCGCGGTCGCTTCCTCCCCGTGACGGACCGTCGCTGCAGGTGCGGGGCGGGCCGGGGCAGGGGGTGGGAGCCTCCCGAACGCTTGTTGGGGGCTCTAGGGGATTGAGTCCCGCCGGTTCGAGGTTCGCGGCGCATAGTGCGCGGGGGCGCCGCGAGAGCTCGGGGTCCCGGCGGGGGCTGAGCGCGCGGGCTCTGCAGACCCGGGGGCGGTGTGCGGGGTCGGTCTAAAGTTCCCCTTCGCCTCGGACGTTTCGGGGGTCCCGGGGGAAGTGGGGCCTGTGCGACTTAAGTCCTGGCGAATACCCCACGCGCCTCCCCCCACTCCATCTCGATGGGCTCTGAAATGTGAAAACATTAACCCTCGAAGATTTGTGGTGTCTCTTGGGTGTGGGGGCCGAGGGCTGAGTCGTCCCTCCCCACTCTCAAAGCTGCTTCAGCCCCTCCCAGCTGCCCCCAGCCCCCTCCCTCCAGCTAAGCAGTCACTAATTTCCATGACAACCGAGAGTTCTTTATTGGCGACAACAGAAGGGGGCTGGGCGGGGCTGCTGCGGGGTGGAGAAGGAGGCCCCAAACCTCTGGGGACCGTAGCCCCTTAATCCTAGTTCCAGCTGCCGAGTTTTCTCGTGGAGGCCAGCTGGGGGTCTAGGGCACAGCGCGTGGTAGGGGTGGGGGCGACACATGTTCCCGCTGAGGTGCGGGGCTTGGTGCTCACACGTGTGCCTCCCGCATGCATGTGTGTGCTGTGCCAGCGGAGACGAGCAGCACTGGGGAAGGGGGTCAAGGTGGCACCTGGATGGGAGCAGGGCCCCTGACTTGGGGATGAGACAGTATGAGCTGAACCTGTAGTGTCTGGCAGAGACCCTGGTCTCTTGAGTCTCACCCCCCCACCAGCTCTACCAAACTGCCTTTGTCCAAACCTCTTTCCCACCCCCACCCCACCAGGTAGAGCCTGCTCCACAAGGCTCCCTCCTAGGGAGCAAGCAGGGCCCTCTGTCCCTCATCAATAGCTCAGAGCCCATACCATTCCAGCCCCTGTCCAGATCCCCCTCCCAGGTCTAGGTTTTGACCCCCTCCCAGGACCACCTGCGGAGACCTAAAACACAGTCCCCCCCCCCAGCTGATTCCTGCCAGCTCCAGCCGCCTCCTGGGCCCTAGTTTCCTCAACTGGGAAATTGGTGTCTTCTTCTTCCTTAGTGCCAGATTGGTCCCAGGGTGGGTCAGGGGTCTCTCTCCCTTTCTTTTACAGCATTTGAGATGGGCCCCCAGTGTCCTAGGTTGTCTGTTCACATATTTGCCACTGTCCCTCTATAGCCCCATGTCCTGGCCATCATTCACAGGCAGGCAGGTAGTCCTCTGTCCTGGGAGGATGCTACTGAGTCCTTGATTCTGTCCAGAGAAACTGAGGCATAGGGGGAGGGTTGTGCAGTTGTTATCAGATTGGGTTGTTTGGAATGCTGCTTCTGGCCTTCTCCTGACAGGATCCACTACAGGGGAATTAGTCTGAGTTGCAGGGGCAGGAAGGTCCTAGGGATCCAAGGCCTTGGAGAGGGCGGCAAATGAGGATGCCTGGCCTCCTCAGATGAGAGGAGGGGCTGTGAAAGGAGGCAGCCAGGTCTCCAAGCCTCATTTCCATCCTTGTGCCTTCGGCTTGCTGAATCTACCTTATTCCTTATGACAGGGAGAGGGACTAAGAGCTGCCCTGGCTGGGGGCTGTAACAGTTGACTTCTTCCTCAGGATATAGAAGCATTTGGTGCAAAAGATCCAAGCACCATGGACAGCTTCTGGCCCATGTGTTCAGAGCACATGGCCATGGAAGCCTTAGGGCTCTGGTGGGCACCCATGGGCCCCTTCAGAATCCCCTACTCACCTCTTTGTGCCTGTGCCCCTTTTCCTCTGTTTCCTCCTTGCTTCCCCTCCATCACAAGTTCTGCCTTTGTCTCCCTATGTCTCTCCTTTCTCTCTTTTCTAAAGTCTCTCAGTATCCCCACCTCCCCTTCCTTAATGGGGCTCATGTCAGAGAACCTCCCTAGTGGTGAAGGAACCAGGCCAAAGTCTAGTCTTAGAATTATTGGAGAGGGGGCCTGACCAATACCTCTCCTATTCTCCTCCCCATGTTTTTAAACTTCCATCACCATAGCAACCTTTTACTCCAGTGCCTTCCTCTGCATTTCCCCTCTTCCATCCTCAGGGAAGCAGGGGTTCAAAGATTGGGACCCCTGGTACCTGGGAGGAACTAGTTTGCTCTTGGCTCTGCCTGCAAGTTGAGGGGTCAACTTTCTAGAGGAAGCACTGGACTGAATGTCCACCCCTAAGACTGAAGAGACCCCTCCCCCTCCATACTCCCTTCTTAGAAAGAGGAGAGTAAACCCCATGGACTGTTGTCATCCATGGTTTAGCTGGAGGCTGAGGCCCCAGGGTACCTCCCTGCCCAATTCCCTGAAGCTGCTGGATAGTGAGCTAGAAGCTTGGCTTGCCTGGTGACACAAACTCTTCAGGTAAGGCCTTCACCTCCCCTGGCCCTTCCAGTGAAGCCTCAGCTATGGGCCGGGGAGGGCTTGGGCCTAGGCATGTGCATTGTAGCAGGAAACCTAGTCCCAGCCCCAGAGACTGAGTGAGTGAGCAAGGGAGGGAAGGGGCTGCCTATAGGCTGGTGTTCACAACTGCCACTAAATCGGGAGGTGTTGCCCACAGTCTTTGGGAGGCAGCTGAAGGCCTCCTGGGTGCCTGTTGAACTCTCTAGATTTACTGCAAGCTCTGGAGCCCCACATGGGGTAGGGGACCAGGGTGATGGGAAGCTCCTGTTAATTATGAGGAAAGATGGTGCCTGAACTAGCTTACTGCAGTAGAGGAAGGGGCAGGACTCAATGTGGGGTATCTGGGCCTCTTGAGCTGGCCTCTGTCCTACTTGGGCTTCCCTTGGCCAGACTTGCTCTAAGGCTGAGGTACGGCCCCATGGGGACCATTTATTACCAGGGAACAGCAGGCAGAGGTTTACTCAACAGTTGCCTGAGGCTCTATTCCAGTGGTCAGGCCCAAGAGACAAGCAGTAACTAGGGAGTGGTTGGTTGGCCCTGAGGCTTTTCTGAGAGCCAGCTAGTGGGCAGTGGCATGGTCAGGCTCTGCAGTCCTCCCAGGCTGCCTTTGGACAGCCCCCTTCCCCTGCATTCTGTTCAGTTCTTCTGCAGTCAGTGGAGGGTGTGTCACATCTCCAGGGAAATAACTGCTATATGGCTCCTGTGCTCCATGTCCTGCTGTGGACTTGAGACAGAGCCTAGGTCTTGTGTTGCCTCGTTGTTGTTGTTGTTATGTGCCATCGAGTCAGACCTGACTCATAGCGACCCCTTCTTGGGTTTCTGAGGCAGTATCATTACGGAAATAGATTGCCACATCTTCCTTCCAAGGAGTGGCTGCTGGGTTTGAACCGCCAGCCTTCTGATTAGCAGTCAAGTGCCTTAGGCACTGTGCTACCAGAGTTCACGTGTTGTCTTGAGGAGAGCTTTCTCTTCTCAGGGATTAGGTCTTGGGTACAAGGGGTGAGAAATACAAAGCCCATTCTAATACAAACAAGCAACAGAGGCTTACTGCATACACCTGAAGCCTTCCAGACAGCTGCAATGGGAAAGAGATGGTGTAGTGGGTAGGGGCAGAGAGAACCAAGGCACTAATCAGAAGTAGGGCCCCCTCCTTCTCCTCTCTCTACCTTGGAGCTAGTTCTGGGCATTCCCAAGCAGTTGGACTGGTGAGAAAGAGCAGTAATTGGCTGTGAACAGGGTAGCTAGCCATAGTGGGAGAGGGGGAAGATCTGCCCCTGTCCCTGCTCTTGCCTCTGCTCCAGCTCCAACCATCAGTCCTGCAGCATGTGGTTCCAGGCCTATCTGACTATGAACAGAAGACTGGCTTTCTGTGGTGGAGACCAAAAAAAAATCAAACTCACTGTTGTCGAGTGGAATCCGATTCATACGATCCCTCTTTGGGTTTCTGAGGCCGTATCTCTATGGAACTAGATTGCCTAGTCTTCCTTCCGAGGAGTAGGTGGTGGGTTTCAACCACCAGCCTTCTGGTTAGCAGTCAAATGCTTTAGTTACTATGCCACCATAGCTCCCAGTGAATTAGCCCTGGGCCCCCATGGGGACCAGTGCATATGTATGGCTGCAAAAAGCTGGGGCTAGGATTGGGGACATGCATACACAAAACCTCCCACACCTTCCCTGCAGGGCAAGGAACTGTTGGTGTTGGGGGTGGGGTGGAGGTTGAGGAAGGTGTCTCAGAGGAGTGACATTTTGAGTCTGGCCTTGGAGCATCAAGATTGTTTTAGACACTGTATTGCACAAACAACCTTATAACGTCAAAAATCACAATGAAAAAAGATACTCAGCCCTGGCCTCAGTACCTCACTCATAGACAGGCTGCTCCAAAAGGAAGCAAGGTGGGCAGCACCCTGGCCCACACTTTCTGCAATTGAGTGGATGCAGTCAAACTGGCAAATCACCTGTTGTTGGACATTTAGATAGTTGCCTATTTTTTTTTATGTTATAAATATCTCTGCTGTGACAAATCATAGGATTCTGATAGGAAGCTTTGGGGGAAGGGCATTCCTGCCAAAGGGAATGATATAAGCAGAGCAACAGATCTGGGACATAGGTCCCTCCCAGCTCCTCCTGGGGAACCTGCAGACTGAGGTATCACCCTCCTGCTCCATGCATGGCCTTTGGAACCCATCCTGGGAAAGGAATTGCTGCCCACCAGAGCCTTTGAGAAAACTGATGCTGTCCTCTCCCCCAGACTGTTATGGCACAGAGCAAGGCGGCTGGCAGTGGTGGGAGGCTGTGCCACTGCTCTCAGCTGCTGGAGCAGGATTCCAGCCATACTCTCCTCCCCACAGACACAGGAGCCGGACTGTGGCTGTGGTGGCAAAGACACTCAGCTGGGGATGATTTTCAAAGCTTCTCTTGTTTGCCTCTTTGATGCCTCACAAGATGGCTTAAGCCCTGACTTGAATGATGCTGATGAAATGTGTTTGCATTTCCTGAGCCTAAGCAACTCAGATGAGGGAATGATGGAATTTTATTCCCTAGTGCTGCAGACCAACTTGAGAACTGTGAAGTGGGTGCCTAGCCGCTCCACCTGAGAAATGAGCAGCAGCTAGGAGCTTATTTGGCCCTGGCCTTTGATCCCAGCTGACAGAGTCCCTCTGGCCCAAACTGACCCCTCTGGGAAGAGGAAGGGTGGTGTCTCTTCTCTACTACTCCAAGGCGTCCTGCAGGTAGGGGAGCATCTAGTTGCCCAGGCCCCAGCCCAGTACCTGTGCATAGCAAGTGCTAATCAGTATGGAGGGAGAACATGCACAGTCACCAGAGGCAGATTCAAGGCAGCCTCTCTATAGAGCTTGCTGTGGTGTGAGGGTCACACTGACAAGGCACTGTGGAGGCAGGCTCTGGGGTCAAGTCTGCAAAGGTCTAGAGACTATCACCAAGCCCCACTCCCAAAGCTTATGCAGAGCAACGGCTTTGAGAGCCTTTTCCCTTGGGTGCTGAAGTCAGCTTACCTACCACCACAGGTGAGGATTAAGCTGTAACTGGCAGGGTTGCAGAACCAGGGAGCACTATCTGCCAGGAGCACAGAATGCGTGGACCCATTAAGCCAACTGCATCTGGCCACCCTGGTGCCTCGGAACACCCAGCTCTGGCCAGACCCCCTGTGGGCTCCAGCAGCAAGGCACTGGACAGGCTTGTCTACCTCCTCCTGCTATCACCCCTGCATGCTTCCTTGGCAAACCCCTCTCTGAAAGTCTCTAAGGCCCAGGCTCAATGCTGCCTCTTCTTTAAACCTTTCCTGCTTTTTCCATCCAGATGGGGTTCTCCCTCTGAAGAATCCCCAAGTATCATGCCTGTGCAGTATTCATTAAATCAATAAAAAATTTATTAATGACTGAAATAATTTGGTAAAGGGTGTGGAGAAGGTGGCACAACTTGAAGAATGTAGCCAATGTCTGAATTGTAGATGTAGAAGTCACTGAATTAATATGTTTTGTTGTGTATATTTCCACCAAAAAAATTATTAAAATAATTACACATATAGTAACAAAAATCTAACAGAAAATTAATAGACAAAAATCCCTCTGCCACCAAATTCTTTGACCCAAAGAAAATTTTGTTTTCTTAGATGTCCTTCAGAAAAATGTTTGTGAGTGTATACCAGTATATATATATATATTTTAAATGAAATAGCACAATACCCATCACTCTTCTTTGAAGTAACCATTATCTGACCTAGGTACTTATTTCCTACCTTTTCTTTCTAGTTTTGCTACTATGTACATATCCTTAAACACCATCGGTTAGTTCCCCTGCTTTTGAACTCATGCCATATACATGAGAACCATATTGTATGTATTCTTTTTGTCTTTTTCACTTAATACTGTGTTTGTGAGATTCACCATACACTTGGGTATAGCTATTAAAAAAGTTGCCCTCAAGTTGATTCTGACTCATGGTGATCCCATGTGTGTCAGAGTAGAACTGTGCTCCATGGGGCTTTCAATGGCTGGTTTTTCAGAAGTAGATTGCCAGGCCTTTATTCTAACACTCCTCTGGACTCAGACTTGCAACCTTTCAGCTAGCAGCCAAGCACTTAATCATATTCACCACCCAAGGATTTTGGGTATAGCTATAGTCCTTTCATGTCCATTGCTGTATAATATTGGGAGCTCTGGTAGTGTAGTGGTTAAGGCATTTCGCTGCTAATCAGAAGGTTGGTGGTTCAAACACACCAGCTGCTCTGCAGAAGAAAGATGAGGCAGTCTGCTTCTGTGTAGATTTATAGCCTTGGAAGGCCAGTGAGGGGTCACTGAGTCAGATCGACTTTATGGCAGTGAGTGAGAAGCCACAATAAGGAGCTTTGGTGGTGCAGTGGTTAAAGCATTTGGCTGCTAACCAAAATTCAACAGTTTGAACCCACCAGCTACTCCATGGGAGAAAGATGAGGCAGTCTGCTTCCATAAGATTTACAGCCTTGGAAATCCTATAGAGCAGTTCTACTCTGTCCTATAGGGTCACTAGGAGTTGGAATTGACTCGATGGCAGTGAGTATGCCACAAGACATCCTTTAGTTGTTGGCTATTTGGGCTGTTTCCAGTTTTGGGCAATTAGGAATATTGCTACTATGAACATTGTTGTACGAGCATCCTGATGCACAAATATACATGTGTCTATAGGGCATATATTTAGGACTGCAGTTGCTGGTTCATAGAGTATGTTTGACTTTAGTAGTTTTACCAAACTGTGTTTCAAAGGGGAGAGTTGCCTTCTACCAGCAGTGTTATATTCTCCACATCTTCATCTACACTTGGCATCCTCAGAGTTTTATCTCACCAGTATGATGTGTGGTGGTTACAGTCCCCTTCATCTATGAAATAGCTGCAATTTAAAGAGATTTTTTAACAAAGAGATCTCTTGATAAACAACTTTTGAATGTATATAATGCCAAACTACTCTCTGATATATCAGTTTCATCATTTGTCATTGGTGGTGGCGTTAGCTGCCACTGAATCAGCCTCATGGAGATCCCATGTACAATGGGACAAAACACTGCCCAGTCCTGCACCATTCCCAAGATCAAATGCAGATGGAACCATTGTGGTCTAAAGGGTTCACTGGCTGATTTTTACAAGTAGATCTCCAGGCCTTGCTGCTTAGTCTGTCTTAGTGTAGAAGCTCCATGGAAATCTGTTCAGCATCATAAGTCTCCTGCGTGCAAGGTAAGAATTCTGCCACTGAACCACTACTACCCTTACATTCTCCCTAAGTATTGTAGCCCAAACAGCCAAACTGAGTAGCCAGGGGTGTGGCCAGAAAAGCAAGGGTAGAATCTGGGTCTGCCTATCCTTTAGTTCCTCCTGGTCTCTGCTCTTGGCTTGGCCTGAGCCAGCGTAGGCTCTCCCAGAGGCAGCCCCTGTGTTGTGAGACATGAGGAATGGTACAACTGAGCTAGAGCCACTCTATTCACAGCTCAGGGCCTGGCAATGCCGTTTGGGTGTGTGACTCTGGGTGACAAGAAGAATTATAACCAGCCATCAGAGGTGACTGACAGATATGATTTGGGACAGGTCATCAAAACGTGAGTGCTGGGCCTGGTGGGCAGGGGTGGATGGGTTAGAACTGAGGAATGAGGAGTGGAATGCAGCCCACAAGCAGCCAAGGCTGAGTAGGGTGTCTGCCAACTGCAGTGAGGAGTTTTGTGAAATCTTCCGGGCCAAGGACAAAACAACAGGCAAGTTGCACACCTGCAAGAAATTCCAGAAGCGGGATGGCCGTAAGGTGCGGAAGGCAGCCAAGAATGAGATAGGCATCCTCAAGATGTGAGTGTGAGGCTTGGGGACAGGGTGGGATAGGAGATAGCAGGGAAGGGCTTGGAGGGCAGGTGGCCCCAGACAATATCAACCTCTGGCCAGTTAATGTGCTGCAGCCTCTGGAGGCAACCAGAGCCTCTCCTAGGGGTTCACCCACCTCTAACTACTAACTCGCTGCCAGGGTGAAGCACCCCAACATCCTGCAACTGGTGGATGTGTTTGTGACCCGCAAGGAGTACTTCATTTTCTTGGAGCTGTGAGTGCAAGTCTGGGGTCCCAGGATTTCCCAGAGCCCAGAGCCTTCATCTGCCCTACCCTCTTTACCCTGGGAAAGCCCTCTTTCTGGACCCCTGGGATCCCAGGTTCCTGTGCCTTGCCCAGCCAGCTGCCTGGTGCAGGCAGCCCTCCCAAGCACTCTCCCCCACCCCTATCCTTCCCACTCTGGGCTCAGGGGCTGGTGTCCCTCAGGGCCACGGGGAGGGAAGTGTTTGACTGGATCCTGGACCAGGGCTACTACTCGGAGCGAGACACAAGCAACGTGGTGCGGCAGGTCCTGGAGGCTGTGGCCTACCTGCACTCACTCAAGATCGTACACAGGAACCTCAAGGTGAGGCCATGGTCAGCAAGTCAGTGGTCTGCCAGGCTGGGGCTGGGCAACACCTTAGGGCCTTGATTTGGCCTCTAAAGCCCTGATGATGTCTTCCTTTGTCCATCCTCATACCATTCCTGGCTGGAGTAGCTGGAGAACCTGGTTTACTATAACCGGCTGAAGAACTCGAAGATCGTCATCAGTGACTTCCATCTGGCCAAGCTGGAGAATGGCCTCATCAAGGACCCCTGTGGGACCCCCGAGTATCTGGGCAAGCAGTTGGAGGGACAGGGGCAGGATGGGATTGGGGATAGCTTCCAAGGAGCTGTTCTGGGTAGGGTAGAATGAAGTCCCCATCACAGGAAGTGGATATGTGTAGTACCAGGCAGGTAGCGGGCCCAGCCAGGCCCAATACTGACCAGCAGATGGACATTGTTTCCAGCCCCAGAGGTGGTGGGCCGGCAGCGATACGGACGCCCTGTGGACTGCTGGGCCATTGGAGTCATCATGTACATCCTGTGAGTGTATGGGCAGGCGAGTAGGCTCTCAGCTAGGCAGGGTGGGAGTCTGTGTCTGTCTTCTGGGGTGACCCTGCCCATCAATCCCCATGCAGGCTTTCAGGGAACCCACCCTTCTATGAAGAGGTAGAAGAAGATGATTATGAGAACCATGACAAGAATCTCTTCCGCAAGATCCTGGCTGGCGACTATGAGTTTGACTCTCCTTACTGGGATGACATTTCACAGGCGGGTAAGGAGGTGCCCCGCATGTGAGTAGAGTGTAGTGTGTGTGTGTGGTGGCTGTTCACATCCTTCTCTGCTGGACTCGCCTTCTGCCCCATAGCCTGCTCACCCACCTCTAGACAGTTAGATGGGGCACCCATGCATAGCCCCCTTCTGGCTTTGTCCCTAGCCAAAGACCTGGTCACTCGGCTGATGGAGGTAGAGCAAGACCAGCGGATCACCGCAGAGGAGGCCATCTCCCATGAATGGTGAGCAGGGCCCAGAAGTAGGTGGGAGGAGGAAGATAAGATTAACACCATAGTTCCCTCAGCCTCTGACCTCCTCACACCTGGCAGCCCCATCTGTGAGGCTTTGAGTGGGTGTGTGTTGGGGGGCACCCAGACATTAGGCCAGCCCAGAGGCTCTGTCTGGTAGTCCCTAGATCCCACAGAAAAGTGGTGGGCAGAGTCTCCGTGGAGGCCCAGACACACTCGAATCTTTTCTAGGATTTCTGGCAATGCTGCTTCTGACAAGAACATTAAGGATGGTGTCTGTGCCCAGATTGAAAAGAACTTTGCCAGGGCCAAGTGGAAGGTAAGTCTGGGATGGCTTTCTTTCCTGGTCTGACCCCAAATACTTCTTTGCTTCATTGTTTCTTGCCTACACCACACAAACTTTTCTTCGGTCATCAGGGATGGCTACAGCCATGGTCACTGCCTTAAAGCAGGCTTGCTGAGCAGCTGGGTCCTTGGCTCTAGGGTGCTTGGAGGCAGCTGGGGGCATCACAGAAGAGGCTGGGTTTGGCTACTACCAGGGAATGAGTCCAGCTTCTGAAAGCCTTTCCCCACCATCCTCCTTTCAGAAGGCTGTCCGAGTGACCACCCTCATGAAACGGCTCCGGGCACCGGAGCAGTCCAGCACTGCTGCAGCCCAGTCTGCCCCAGCCACAGATACTGCCACCCCTGGGGCTGCAGGCGGGCCCACAAGTGCAGCTGCAGGTGGGGCCGCCCCAGCACCAACAGCAGAGGGTGCTGCTGCTCTTGCGACAAAGAGTGAGAATATGGCCTCCGTAGACCGTAGTGCCACCCCAGCCACAGATGGCAGTGCCACTGATGGGAGCATTACCCCAGCCACAGATGGGAGCATCACTCCAGCCACTGATGGGAGTGTCACCCCAGCCACTGACAGGAGTGCCACTCCAGCCACTGATGGGAGAGCCACACCAGCCACAGAAGAGGGCCCCATGCCCACCACCCAAAGCAGTGCCACATCGGCCCCCAAGTTAGCTGCCACCCCTGAGCCGGCTCTGGCCCAGCCGGACAGCACAGCCCCAGAGAGTGCAACAGGCCAGGCCGTACCCTCTAGTAAGGGGGAAGAGGCTGCTGGCTGTGCCCAGGCATCTCAAAGGAAGGAGACCAGCTGAGTGGGCAGGCTGGTGGTTGGGAAGGTGGGGGATGGCAGGAGGGTGGGAGAGTGGATGGGGGCTTCTCACTGTACATAGTCACTGGCATGATGCCCCCTTCCCTGACCTGCCCCTCTGCCCCTGAGTGTGGGGCATACCCTGCAGCCACGGGAAAGCAGTTTCGTCTCCCGTGTGTATGTATGTGAGTGGTGGGCAGGCCAGAGGCAGGGTGGGCCCCAGCCCCTGCATGGATTCTTTGTGGCTTTTCAGTCTTTTGCTAGCTTCACCAGTTTTCTGTTCCTTGTGGGATGCTGCTCTAGGGATACTCAGGGGTGCCCTGCTTCCTTTCCCTTCTTGCCTCATAATTACCCCATTAGGCCCTGCGGGCCTGCTTCTCTCCTAGGCCCCAAACTCAGGTGGATTTTCCATGAGACCTACCCTTCCAGCGAGGCCCTGTCAGCACTCTTAGGCTCCTGCACATGAAGATGTGTGCCTGTGATATGTGTCATGCTCTAGGAGTGGACACAGGCTGAAATGGAGGATGTTGAAATCTAGAGCAGTGTTCTTTGAGACAAGACTGGTTGCAAGAACCCATGGGGACTCTCAGAAGTGGAAAAGAGTGAGTAGGACAGTAGAAGCTTCCATCTTTGGCCCTTGGAAGACCATCTCAAGATCCTTGTGTCATTTCCTATCCTGGGTCCTGCAAAGGGTTGCCTTAGACCCCAAGTCTCCTAAGTGTATAAGGAGCAATAAGGATGTGACAGTGAGACTTGGGAAGGCAGAGTGCAGGCCTAGTACCCAGTACTCCAGCCCAGCTGGGTCCTTACCCTGGGCCAAACAGAAGGTTGATATCTCCTCTCTCTTCTCAAATGCCTTCCTCCTCAGGCTCAGCCCTCAAATCCTCTCCATCTCATAGCAGTGCCCCATAGTCTGATCTGAGGGTTTATCCTTTACACAGGCATGTTTTCTTCCCCCTCTCCCCCCACTTTAACAAAATGGAGTGGAACCCCTCTCTTTGTACAGCCCACTTCCCCTTACTTCAGGGCTTGGAGGGAGGCCCAGGCACCTCTGAGCTGTGCTGAGTTGCTTTTGTTGGGGTGAGGAAATAGAACAAGGCCCCCCAATTCCCTAATGGATGCTCCTGGCAGGTACCCATTGTCAGACCCCACTAGTCTGGGCAGGCTGCCATACCAATCCCAGTCCCTTCTCAGCACTCCATGGCAGTCCTGCCCTTCTCCCTGCATGCCTGTGGGTCTGCTCTGGTGTGTGTGTGTGAAGGTTGGTGGGCTAACTGTGTGCCTGCAGATACCGGCAAATAAACGTCACCCTGCCAAAGCCTCTGGCCACCCTCTTGCCTTTGCTTCCTCTATCCTACTTGGAAAGGGCCCTTGGAAAATAGTGGGAAGGGGGAGTCTGGGAACAGATTCAGTAGAGGCCTGTGCTCAGTGCCATGACTTGGCTGAGTGAAGATAATCCCACCACAGCATGTTTCTCTCTGGCCCCTTGGTGTGGGGGTAAGGGGGAGAGTTGCCTCTGGACTGTAGAAATCCATGTGGGTAGGAGGTCCTGGGCTGTTCTAGTGATTCCTGTTGTCTTGATTTGGGCATAGAGCTGGAACCCACCCAGGGTCAGCCAACACAGAGAGAGCCATTGCCTGTGACCAAAATAGGCTTCCTTGGGCTGGGGAGAGGGTGCAGGGTGGGTATCACACAAAGGTTCTCTGCTGCCCTGTGTGTTGATTTCTCCTTTCTGTGAACACCTCTGCTTTCCACACAGGCCCAAACAAAAGACTTCCTTCTGGGGCTCCTTCGGCTGGAGCAGATCAGCTTTAAATTATGAAGCTCTATATAAAGGTTCTCCTGGGGAAGGGAAAAGATATGCTAAAGATAGGGTGAAAACCCATGGGCCACATGGAGACTTGCATCAGCCCAGGTGAACTTACCAGGGATGCAACTCTCTCAGGGTGGACCTCAAAGATAACTTCTCAGATGTGGGAATGAGAAAAGGGTTTGTTAGTCCCTGGTGTTAGTCATTTGTCTATAAACATCAGGACCTCAAAAATTCCTATATTCTGCAGTCCCAGGGGCAAAACTGACCCTCAGCTCTTGGGAGCTAAGAGCTAGTCAAGGTACTGGCCCTAAGCCCTAGGCCTCCAAACTCAGGGATGTCATTCTTTGCTTAGATAAAACCAGTGTGAGGCTGGAATGTACTGAGGGTAGGGCTTATGTGTCATCTTTCCAGGACCACTCTGAGCCTGAGGGCTGATAGGGTGGAGCATTCACTTGGCCTGTGGAAACTATGGGCAGCTATCTGATAGTCCACTACTGCCCAGGGCCTATGGAGCTCGCTCCCCGTAGGGACCATCGTCCCATCCTCCCAAGGCCACTGTCTTCTCGACTCTCCTGAGCCGCAGAAAAAACTGTCGAGGGAGAACAGGGATGAGAGTCCTATGTCCAGCCCACCTCCTATCAAGTCTGGCTTGGGATCAGAACACCCTGCCTCGAGAAAGGCCCGGCCAGTGGTGCGGCTGTTCCCTGTTCTGATGCTCTGGGGATACCAGATGAAGCCCGGGAGCCGACTGGGGGCGGCCGGAAGCCCTGGAGGCTTGGGACAGAACCCAGGCAGTGCTCCGCTCTAGGCTTCTCAACAACAGCACGCGAGCTGCCAAATCCCGCCCCTGAGGGTTTGCCCAATCCAGGCCCAATCTTCAGACTCTGCCGCCAGAGTTTGATGTCGTCATTTCTGGTACGGCCCCGGAAGCCGCGCAGCGGAGCCAGATTTGAAAAGACCTAGGGTGTCGGGGAACTGCGGCGTGCCGCGGTTTCCTTGGCTATCCTGACCACTTGAGTCCCCCTGCTATGCCTATCCGTGCGCTATGTACCATCTGCTCCGACTTCTTCGACCACTCCCGCGACGTAGCCGCCATCCACTGCGGCCACACCTTCCATCTTCAGTGGTGAGTGAACGCGGGAGTCGGGGCCCGTTGCTCGCTCCAGTGCGGCCTCCGGGAGGTGGGGCCTCAAACCTTCCAGCGACCGGACCCCGGAGCCCAGGTGGGTGATGAGGACGTCACTAGACAGAGCCCCACTGGAGGCTTCCCGGAGAAGGTGACACTTGGGCCGAGTCCGGGGAAGGGACTTCCGTAATCATCTGTGGAAAGGGGTCTGACTTCAAACTATTAGTCCGGGCAGGCGTGAGCTTTTACCACATTAACGAGCCCTTTTTCTTCTTGATAGAAATCTAGTAGGCCCCTGCCTACGTGGAGAATTTGTTTTGTCTTACTTGATGGTTTGGAGTGGTTCTGTCTAGAATTATCTTATTGGCCAGACGTCCCAGTGTATTCATCAATGGCAGCAAACCCAGAATAACATCAAAGGGCAAGGAGGTGGTTCTCATTGAGAAGTCTTGCTGACTCTGTGGGACCATTCTGTTGAATGCATAGCTAGTGTGAAAAGATACCTTAGCAGGTGTGGACAGGCTGGTTTGGAGTTCTCAGTGAAGGAGTTAAACAAAGTGATTCTTGGGCACTTTAGGGGCAAAAGACTCCAGGAAGCAGAGAATCACGCTGCTGGCAGATCTCATAGTGCATTTTCCCTCACAGGACCCTTTACTGGCTAGGCAGTGTTCAGAGCCCTGTTGCTGACAGCCTGAGCATCATGCTGAGGGAGCTACTGCTGTGCTGTCAGACAAAATCAAGCCTCTCAGTGCTCTTCTCTATTTACTGTCTGCATGCTCTTCTTCCATCCTTTTATTTTCAAGTCTTCTCTGTACTTATATTTTACATGTGTCTCTTGAAAACAGCATTGAGTTGGACTTTCAAAGAAAATTAAGTCTGATTGTCTTTGTATTTAACTAGAACATTTATAGTCTACTTAAACTTATTGCAATTACTGGGGTATTGGGGTTTAGAGGTTTAAATCTCGTTTTATCTCTTGTTGTTAGGTGCTGTCAAGCCAACTCTGATTCATAGCAACCCTATGTATAACAAAACAAAACTGTCTAGTTGTGCGCCACCCTCATAATCCTTGTTATACTTGAGCCTATTGATGCAGCCATTATATCAATCCATCTTGTTGAGGTTCTTCTCCTTTTTCACTTACTCTCTAATATACCAAGCATGATATCCTTCTCCAGGGAGTGGTCCCTTCTGACCACATGACCAAAGTAGGTGAGACAAAGTCTGGTCATTCTTGCTTCCAAGGAGCTTTCTGGCTGCACTTGTCCAGGACAGATTTGTTCGTTTTTCTAGTCCATGGCATTTTCAGTATTCTTCACCAACACCACAATTCAAAGATCAACTTTTCTTTGGTCTTCCTTATTCACTGTCCAGCTTTCACACATGAGATGATTAAAAATACTATGGCTTGGGTTAGGCCCATCTTATCTTCAAAGTGACATCTTTGCTTCTTAACACTTTAAAGAGGTCTTTTGCAACAGATTTGCCCAGTTCAGTATGACATCTCAATTTTTTTTTTTAATTTTTATTGTAATTTGGGTAGAAGTTTACAGAGCAAATTCACTTTCCATACAGCAACTCCCATATACTTAGATTCATGACATAGACTGCAATTTCCTATAATGCAACAGCTCCCCTCCCACTTCCTCCCTATAGTTACCTCTTCTCTGTGTCCTTCCCTCCCATACACTCTTGCCCCCCCACCCAGCTGTCTCCCTGTGCATACACAGCCCTATTCTCCCATGATTGATCTCTCCAAGGATTGTATCTGTCTAATGTAAATGTTCAGCTCATATGCCTGTCTTTTGTTTGGCTGGAAGCCACAGGAGTGGGTTCAGTTCCAGACCTGAAGGGCAGCTAGGGGCCATAGTCTCAGTGGTTCCATCAGTCTCTATCAGACCAGCAAACCTTGACATCTGATTTCTTGACTGCTGCTTTCATGGATGTTCATTGTAGATCAAAGTAAAATGAAATCCTTGACAACTTCAATCTTTTCTCCATTTATCATGATATTGCTTATTGGTCCAGTTGTGAGAATTTTTGCTTTTTTATGTTGAGGTGTAATCCATACTACAGACTGTAGTCTTTGATATTCATCAGCAAGTGCTTCAAGTAATCTTCACTTTCAGCAAACAAGGTTGTGTCCTCTGCCTATCTCAGGTTGTTAATGAGTCTTCTTCCAATCCTGATGCCGCTTTCTTCTTCATATAGTCCAGCTTCTCACATTAGTTGCTCAGCATACAGACTGAGTAAGTATGGTGAAAGATACAGCCCTGAGGCACACCCTTCTTGATTTTAAACTATGCAGTATCCTCTTATTCTGTTTGAATGACAGCCTCTCTTGATCTATGTACAGGTTAGGTTCCTCATGAGCACAATTAAGTGTTCTCAAATTTCCATTCTTCACAATGTTACCCATAATTTGTTATGAGCACATAGCCTTTACACAGTCAATAAAACACAGGTAAACACTGTCTAATAGAGCCTGGTGAGACCCCTAAGACTATGGCCCCTAGTTACCCTTCAGGTCTGGAATTGAACTCACTCTTACGGCTTCCAGCCAAACAGTAGACGAGCATAAAGGGTAAAAATTTACATCAGGTAGATACACTCCTTAGAATGATCAATCATGAGAGAACAGAAGGACAGTATTTGCAAAGGGAGATAGCTTAAGGTGCAGGAAGGCATAGGAAAGAAAGACATAGGGAAGAGGTAACTATAGGGAGGAAATGGGAAGAGAGCTGCTATATTGTGGGGAATTGTAGTCAGTGTCATGAAACAAAATGTGTGTGAACTGCTGTATGAAAAATGAATTTGCTCTGTAAACTTTCACCCAAATAACAATAAAAATTAAAAAAATGTACACATCTTTCTGGTATTCTTTGCTTTGAGCCAAGATTCATCTGACATCAGCAATGATATCCCTCGTCCCACATCCTCTTCTGAATTCAGCTTGCATTTCTGGAAGTTTCCTGTCAATATACTGCTGTAACCATTTTTGAATTATCTTCAGCAAAACTTTACTTGTGTGTGATGTTAATGATATTGTTCAATAATTTCCACATTCTGTTGGATCATCTTTCTGTCAAATGGGCACAAATATGAATCTCTTCCAGTTAGTTGGCCAGGTAGCTCTCTTCCAGATTTCTTGGCATAGACAAGTAAGCACTTCCGGTGCTGCATCCATTTGTTAAAACATCTCAATGGGTATTCCATCAATTCCTGCAGCCTTGTTTTTTGCCAATGGCTTCAGTGCAGCTTGGACTTCTTCCTTCAGTACCATTGGTTCGTAATCATATGCTACCTCCTGAAATGGTTGAATGTCAACCAAATCTTTTTGGTACAGTGACTCTGTACATTCTTTGCGTCTTTTGATGTTTTCCTGCATCAGTCAGTATTTTGCCCACAGAATCCTTCAGTATTGCAACTCAAGTCTTGCATTTTTTCTTCAGTTCTTTCAGCTTGGGAAATGTCAAGTGTGTTTTTCTCTTTTGGTTTTCTAATTCCAGGTCTTTGCGCCTTCCATTATAATACTTTGCTTTGTTTTCTGGAGCCATCCTTTGAAATCTTTTGTTCAGCTCTTTTATCTCTTCATTTCTTCCATCTACTTTAGCTACTTTCTTTTAAAGAGCAAGTTTTCAGAGTGTCTTCTGACATCCATTTGGTCTTCCTTTCCTGTGTTTTTAATGACTGTTTGCTTTCTTCATGTTTGATGTTCTTGGTGTCATCCCAAACTCATTTGGTTTTTGGTCATTTGCATTTGTTCAATGCATCAAATCTATTCTTCAGATGATCTCTAAATTCAGGTGAGATGTAATCAATGTCATATTTTGGCTCTCATGGACTTGTTTCAATTTTCTTTAGCTTCAACTTGAACTTGCATATGAGCAATTGATGGTCTGTTTCACAGTCAGCTCCTGACCTTGTTTTGACTGATGATACTGAGCTTCTCCATCGCCTCTTTCCATAGATGTAGGTCAATCTGATTCCTGTGTATTCCATCTGGCAAGGTCCATGTGTATAAATACTGTTTATGTTGTTGAAAAAAGTATTTGCAATGAATAAATCATTCATCTTGCAGAATTCTATCAAGTGATCTCCGGTGTCATTTGTATCACCAAGGCCAGCCGTATTGTCCAACTACCAATGATTCTTCTTTGTTTCTCACTTTCACATTCCAATCATCAGTAGTCATCAGTACATCTTGATTGTATGTTTTGTAAGTTTCACACTGCAGAAGTTGGTAAAAAAATCTTCAATTTCTTCATCTTTGGCCTTAGTGGTTGGTACACAAATTTGAATAATAGTGGTATTAACTGGTCCTCCTTGTAGGTGTGTGGATGTTATCCTATCACTGACAGCATTGTGCTTTAGGATTGATCTTGAAACAGTCTTTGTGGTGATGAATGTGACACCATTCCTCTTCAATTTGTCTTTCCCAGCATAGTAGATCATATGATTGTCTGATTCAAAATGTCTGACGTTTTCATGGTCCACTTAGTCCCTTGGACTACTTGTTTCCATGTATCTTTTGTTTTCTTCATTCTTCTTTGCTCCAGACAAGGGGAGACCCACTGTTGCATATAGATAGCTGCTTCAAGCTTTTAAGACACCAGTCGTTACTAACCAAAGTAGGATGTAGAACAATGTTTTTGTGTAACCATCCAGTTCTTCTGGACTCATGGCAAAGGAAGCAATTGTTCATGGAGTTAACAAGACACATATTCCATTTCCTCTTCCTTGTCTTGACTCGCCTTCCTCTTTTGCTAAAATATGTGTTTTTAACCTACCAGGTTCAAATGTTAATTTTTCATTATTCTAGGCATCTTTGGTGGTAGTGATAGTGTGGGCATTTTTCCACTTGCTATACTTCCTTTCGGGAGCTCTGGTGGCATAGTGCCTAAGGCATTTGACTGCTAACCAGAAGGCTGACAGTTCAAACCCACCAGCCACTCCTTATAAGGAAGGTTGGGCAATCTACTTCCTTAGTGATACCACCT